TTATTTTTTTTAATGGTGGGTGTTTACGCAGTTGGCTAGAGCAGTGCTGATTGGGGAGAACGGAGGTGCGCTCACTCTTGCCCAGGGCAAGTAAGACTGCAACTCAAGGCTGGCAGTCATGCATATGCTCTGGGTAACAGAGTAATATCGCGTCCACATCGCAGGCTTTGCGATTAGGAAATCGCAACGTCTCAAATCGCGATTTCGATTCGATTTCGATTAATCGCACAGCCCTAATGCACACCTGTGCTGAAGCTCCTGCAGCTGGCAATCATTCTCATGCTGTTAATGCTGGAGATTATCAGAGCTTTGAGGGACTTGTGGACCGCTGTTGTGACTTGACTCTGAACACTCGTCTCTGACACTGATCACGCCATGCTAGAACCTCACAGTGTGTGTGACCCATTTTTGGAAAGTAGTGTTCTGTAATTCACATGATTTTTGATATGGAAACCAGGCATTGTGACAAGAATAGCTCAGCAAATACAATAAAATCACAGCATTTATTATTATTTTTTTTTTTTTAAATAAGTGTTCTTCTGTGATCTTCACAGGTCACATATGACCTGTATTTGAAGAACCTTTGCTTTAAATATGAGATATTTAGATTGTATGTGTTTTTTGTTTATAGACATGCAGTGTTAATTTTATTTGTGCAATTAAATTTTCCAAAGCAGGAAAGTTTAATCTTACGTTGTCTGTCATAGGTTATTAAACTAGGAATGGGTTAGGATGGTTGTTTAGCAAGTTTAGTTTTTTGTTATTGTTGATTTTATATAAGTTGCAAGGAGATGCAAATCTTAAATAATTGGTATGCAACTTCGTTGAGAGCGTTTGTTTGTTTGTTTTGTTGGCCGTTCACAGCCGTGTGATTGGCTGTGATCTTTAGAGGTGCTACACAGCCCGTGCCGTCCTTAACCTGCTTTTGATGTGTCTCTAATTTACCACATTTACCCACAATCCCACAGAGACAGAGCAGCCTGAATCCAAAGACTCCTCTTCATTCTGACCATCGGCGCTCCTCTTCTCCTGTAGAGTTGCTTTTTCGCCTCTGTGCTTTTAGTCTACTCTATCATATCATAGCGTAAGGTCACAGTAAATTGCTGGCCTATGACGGGTTGGTGTCTTTGTGTGTGTGTCCTAGATTCTCTCTCATCATCTGAGCTCTTATTTCTCCACCTGCTGATCATAAATATACTCCATACAGCTCAGTATGTGAAATGTGTGTGTGTGTGTGTGTGTGTGTGTGCGTGTGTGTGTGTGTGTGTGTACAGAGCGGTGAGTCAGTGTTTTGTATGGTTTATGGTTTTGTTCAGATGAGGTGCTTTTTAAGGAGTATGACATCAGTGAAATTGGTTGTTTTGGTCTTTGATCATTTTGTAGGTATCACATTACTTGGAGCTCTTTTTAATGCATTAAATTAATTATGGTTTGCAGTGCACCTTATAATGCACTGTATGATCTTGTGAATAAGTGTAACCAGAGTTATAAAACATTATAATACTTAACTATTCCATCAGAAAGTATAATGCTTTGAAACAATTTCAGATGTAACAAGGAATCTGTAAGTATTGACTTAGATTACAGTTTTTTATGAAAGGTTATAATGCATTACAATGTATATTATGAATAATTATAATGCATTATACATACAGGCTTCAAGTAAAGTGTTAGCGTTTTGGACAATAAAAGGTTATATTCATTTAGTCTATTTGTTGAATATAGTGTCCATACAAAATGTGTCTGATCAGGGTCTGGTGGACATGATATGGCCATTATTCAGGACTTCCTTCATAATTCAGGTATTGGTTGATTATAAAAAAAAAAAAATGTAGTAGTTCTGCATATTGCTAGTGTTAATCAGTTCATCTTTCTATGGCTGCTCACTGATGTCTCTGATGAATAGGTAGATCTGTGTTAAAAGCAGATGGAGGTAAAGCTGAAGAAACACTCGCTCAACACACATTAGTGACATTTTTGTCTCCATTTTACAAGCCACTCAAATTTTCATTGGAAATCTAATAAACACTAAGCCCAGAATGTGTGTTGTAAAGCCTTGCAAAAAATGTTTGCCAAAACAAAATGAATTCTGTATAAAACACATGCAGTGCAAGAAGTGAGATCAGGAGCATGCAAATACTGAAATGAGTCTTGCACTTAGGGCTGCACGATTAATCGAAATTAAATCGCAAAGACGATAAATCTCGATTCAACAGAAGCTGTGATTGTCATATAAACACACGACTACGGCAATATACGGTTTATCGGAGTTCTTGTTATTATAATTTTAATTCAAATAAAGTATATTTATAATGCTAATCCTTTATCACTGCTTAGAATACTATGAAATATGTTGCGTGCCTTATTCTGTGTAAGAAGCCACATCATCTCACAGAAGGATTTATTTCAAACACTCGACTGGCGTTATATGAAGTGAGTTTGGAGTAAAAATATGTTATTAAATGTGGTATTTTCACATGCTTTCAGGTGGAGCAACATTTACTACACAGAGCCGTAGTTCACTGACAAGCTCTGCAAACAGCTTTCATAATCGCAGAACGACTTCTTCGATTTCATAATCGTGCGATTAAATCGTCTGCGATTATGAACGTGATTTTGCGTTGTTTGGCAGTGTACTACGACTCTGTGTAGTAAATGCTGCTCCATCTGAAAGCACATGATGGCATTCAGCTCTCCTGATGCAATTCAAGAGAAGAAGACACAGCGCTTCAGACAGAGCAAACGCAGCCGAACCCGAGGCTGCTGAGCGGCTTTTCAATAACAAAATAAACATCAAAAATGACAGAGGTGAGAAAGCAGCAGTTTAAAACGCATATGGATGTTGCGCGAGCTCTGCAGTTCAGTACTCCAATAAAGTCCAGTCACATCACCTTTATTTATATAGTACTTTATCAGTGTTTCCTCTGCCATTATATTGGGGGGCGCCCCGCTAGTTAATTTTATTTACTTTTATTTTCTCTATAGCGCCAGATCACAACAGAAGTCATTTAAAGTTACCTTTTCTATAACACACACAAGTGAGCCCACTCCCACTAGTATTTGTAAATATTAAGCCGCAAAACGACTATTTAAATATGAATTCTGTGTGTTAATGAATGGCGCAGACGAGCAGTTTTGTTTACCACTTGTACTGAAGCGCGCGTGACGCTTCCGGTGATAATAACGTCTGCCGTCTCACTAATGAGGACATAAATACATGAACATCTCCAGAACTGCTCTGAGAGTCACTTCATGGGCATTTGACCGTTTCATTTGAGTAAAACTATCCTCATATCACATACACACAGAAATGTAAAGGTATTCACGACAACCCGTCAAAATAAAAGTTCGGTTTTACTTGAAGACATTGGGGCAGAAATATATTACTGTTGTTCAGTAGAATGTACGTAATAGGCTACTACTACTAACATTATTAAAACCTTATTTGTAAGGAATAATCATACAATATTTCTTCAACGTTTTAATTGTAATATTAAATTCCCTTTATTTTCCAAAAAAATAAAACGTGTTTAATTTTCATTATTTAAAGATAAATTAAATGAATGTTTTATGCCTTAAAAATGTAAATACACAACACAGAATTTCTGAGGGGGGAAAAATCGTAAGGTTGTAAGAATAAATGAAACTTGTTTTTATGCTTTCAAATAATTAGACATGCTAAATCACAGAATTTGGTAACAATAACACATAAGGTTGGAAAAAATGAAACATTTAATAGGACCCTAAACATGTAATTTGTGTTAAACTTTTAATAAATTGATGTTAAATTAAGTTTCATGATAATTAATTACTTAGATTAATTAATTAGACATGCTTTTTGATGAATAAAATTTAATTTAACCATTAAAAAGGAGTCCAGAATAAATTTTAAAAAGCCATAAACCTAGGGGAAACACTGACTTTATGCAATAGATAGCCTTAAATCAAGCAGCTTTACAGTATTAAACATGAAAACCCAGTCAGTATCACTTTCAGTTAGAATTACAACTTGATTTTCTGTTATAAAGCAGCTCTCCAGTGTGGAGCTAGCTAATGATAAAATCGTTTTATTAGTGAGGAAAAAAAATATTTCATTAAAGTCAAAGCTTGTTCTAGCTCAGGACTGTTTTGATTATCATAACCCTATAAGATATTTTAAGAGAGATTATGTTGTGAATAAAATAGTTTATCCAAAAATAAAACGTCTTATCACTTAACCTTTATTTTGTTTCTTATCCATATGACTTACAAAAAGAGATTTTAGGCAGAATGATGTGTCATTCAGTTACTTTTTCATATAACTAATTAAATGGTGAATAAGAGAGTTTCTCTGCCATCTCATTTGGCCATCTCTGCCATCTCCACCAAAAAATCTATTTTGTGTGCCAAATATATTTATTTGTATAAATTAATTGTATAACTGTAATTACGTAAAATGACTTTCAAAAGCTGAAGTGATTACCTTAATTTATTTGTTAGAATATGTATAACTCAATATTTTATTTATTTAATTGCAAAAGCTGAATAATCAATAAATGTCTACTGATTAATCAGTGAAATAATTGATGATTAGTCGATTAATAGTTCTAATAATCGTTAGATTATTAACGATCGTTTGTTGCAGCCCTATTTAGCTGTCTTTTTTATAGTCAGATTACATATTACATTTTCACAGTTTACATTGTGAAAGTTGTTATGCAAATTTCTAAGGCCTCTAAATGATCAACAGGATCAAGACTTTGCTGTTAAACCTGCTGCACACAATCTACTCCATGCCTTCTGTCGTCTGATTGATAGCTTAGACTTTTTTATCTAGTAAAAGTTATTTTAGTATAATTGAACAAAAGTTCAGCTTCAGCTCGTGCTTCACGTGTCTGTTTGCTGTCAGATCTTTACTGATTTTTATAAAGTAAACATTAGAATAACTTTGATATGTTTAGTAATATTTCCAGATGAACACTTACTGGACTGAAGCAGCTTCGCTTTACTTGATTCTCCAGACATCATTTTTTCGAAAAATCATGTTCAAATGTGAGTCTCAAATCTGATCATCAGGCTTTTGAGGAACATTTATTTGTTCATCTCTCAGTCATCATTTTATTGCATTGCATTGTATGTTTCATTATTAAACTGAGCTATACTAAGGTATATTATTGGAGATACAGAGTGACGACTGATATTTCTATCATTTTATGCAGGTGTCTGCTATACTTTTAAAAACTCTTAACCTTTATAAAGAATATCTCTTTGGATTTGAGACTTTAGTCTTTGCAACTTTACAGATCTTCTTTATGCACCAAGAGCTTGTAACACTCCAAAGAGAAAGGAAAACTTGAAATCGCATCATATGACCCCTTTAATTGATTTTTATTTCAAGCTATCAGAATTTCATCTTGCTTTTTGGCCACATAAATATATAAACATCTGCACCAAATTACATATTTTAGCTTAGTTTGTGCCTCTGAATAAAATTAAGGTGTTTTTCCTCTATATTCTCACTATATGATATTATATGAGCCTTAAAAACTCATAATATAATTTTTTTGTTTTTTGTGTTTAACCAAAAATGTACATATGCATTTTTTTTTTTTTAGATTTTATTTAAGTGTTCAAACTGTTCCATTTTTTAAATTGGACTTTGCAGGCTCTTAATTCATATGTCAGGCTTTACAGGGTTAATAAGCAGGTGCACACATGGTTCTCTAGCTGCTCTACTGATGTCACAAGCTGACATTAGTAGCTCCTGAGGTCTGTGTGTTTTACTAGCGGAACGGGAAGGACTTCCTGTCAGTACAATAGCTGCCCTCCTCGTGGCTTGTCCTCACTCCCAGGAGTCTTTTGGGCGAGACGCAGTGATGTCTTCTACCAGAGCAGTCTGCCATAGGTAGAGGAGGGTGCCAACCAGTCATTCCAACAGGACTAGATGGGACTGCATGACCTTTTCGTGTTGGGACAGGAAACCCTGAGTCACGGTTTCAAAGCTAAACTACTGTTTCTCTGTGTGTGTCTGTAGTATCTGGGGCACGTGGAGGTCGAGGAGTCTCGTGGCATGCACATCTGTGAAGATGCCGTCAAGAGATTGAAGACGGTAGGTGTACAAACTTCATCTGTCACATCTCCAGTGCTGAGACGAGATCTCCTGTTCTCCACCTGAACAGTCTCCTCAGTCCGTGTCTGTCTTCCTCTGCTCACACCACATCTCTTTTTTTTCTGCAGTCGACACCAAGTGGTCTATTTAAAGCGCGTCTGTCTCCTCCTGCTGTTCTCTTCCTCTTCCGCTGGCCTCGCTTATGCTGTCAAGCATCAAAAAAAAAAAAAAGCTTCATGTTTAATATAAGTTGAGCTCAGTCGACAGCATTTCCACGGACATCACCCCTGATTGTGTTACTGCATAACCTGCTCACAAACCAACATGCCACAGCAGTCTTTGTTTACAAGTTTTTCTAGTTTTGATAACATGCTTAGCATTCAAAGCTATTTAATTTAGCATTTAATGTTGTCGTGAGCATCATATTTGGAAATAAAATCATTTCATTTCAGATTGACTGAAAAATTTAATTTGCTGTGCTGGCAAGTTATTTCAGCCTAACATAGGAAGCCAGTGCACAGCTTTGTTGATTAGAATGCGCACTCAGAAAAAAAGGTACAAAAGCTGTCACTGGGGCGGTGCCTATTCAAAAGGTATACTTTTGCATCTTTTAGCTACTAATATGTACACTTTAGGTACTTATATGTACCTTTAAGGTACCAATATGGACTCTTTAGGTACAAAGTTGAGCCTTTTGAAAAGGTACCGCCCCAGTGACAGCTTTTGTACCTTTTTTTCTGAGAGTGTGGTTTCTGGTGATCGTTTTGAAAACTTGATTCTTTATAAAGGCGTTATTCTGAATGCAGAGAACAGGTATCAAGCATCTTATAATTTGTCCAAACCCCAGCATGTAAGCACACGGTCCGCTCGGAGCGGTACAGGCGTGAGTATCCTGTCTCAGCAGCGTCCAGCGGAAGACATTCCATTCTTCAGGGAAAAGGAAATCCAGTGCGATGTCTATTTTCCACGTTGACAAGGCTTCGCACGCCTCCACCCAAATAGAAATAGAGTCGTGATGTTTGTCACTTTCCACCTGACGGCTTGCTCTGAGTTATTGCGTATCCTCTCCATCTGACCTTGTGTTGGAAAAGAGTGCTGTGTTTAATCACATTAGTGCTGCATGTAGAAGACTGTGCTTTCCGGTTTGACTCTTAACCCAGAGTGTCTAAGCTGCTCTTTTCTATGCAGTGAAAGTGAATGATGACCTCAACTGGCAAGCTTTTCGAGGCACGATTTTCAGCAAATAAAGAGTTACATTTTGGTCTGTTAATCACAAAGCTCTCGGGTGGTTTCAGAAAACTTGGAATATAATGTTCAGGCTTTTCAGAGCTTGACGGCCACTGGTCACCATCCACTTTCATTTCATGGAAAAGCTGCATCATTTTACAAAATCGGCTTTTCTTATAAAATTGCAAATGTGATACAAAATGCAATTTAAAAAAAAGCTCCAGGTTTGCTATGCTTGTTTGTAGGGTTGCACAAGCGTATAAAATTAATTAGTTTCTTTTATTAGCATGATTGTTATTACTAAATAAAAAATTTAACAAAATGAAAGCAATATTGCTATTGTTATATTTCACTCTAAAATAAACATTTAAGCATTAAAAATAATAATAAAGAGAACCCTAACAACTCATTTTTTGGTAAGTGCTTCTCATTACTAGAATGGGAAGATTTTGGCTTTTTTTTTCTTAATGCACATTAAAGCAACTCAAGCATAAAGCAGGTGCAGATGGAGTTCATGTGGAGCAGCATTTACTGTGAACTGACACGCTCTGTGATGCTGAAAACCCCAAACCATGAGCTGCTCACGTGTAAATGAACACAGTGCTCCGCTTCCCTCTGAAACGTGCAGCGCATGGGTATTTATTTTTTTGCATTTTAAAAAAATACTTATGTAATAATATTTATAATAGTTTTCATAAAATAGCAGATTTGATAATCGCATTAAGCCATAACACGATTTTGGTTTTATTTTGAATAATCGTGCATCTCTAGTCAGAGTCATATGGCTCTTGCATGAAGACACAAACACCCTGAACCTAACTAATGACATACAAGCTTTAAAGAGCCAGCTTTAACTGATAAGTCATCTCTCATGACCCTGCAACCTTCTCAAACCCTCGCTCGGACAGTCCAAACCTCATTATTTCCAGAACTGATCAGCAGTAATTAAGTTACCATCACTGTAACCCGGAGCACCAAATCAAGTGGCTTGAGCAGGAGAAGTGGCTGGACCTGTGTGTGTGTGTGTGTGTGTGTGTGTGTGTGTGTGTACCGTTCTCTAACGTAATAAGATTTCCTGTCACTGGAAGCCTGCCACCCATGTCCAGGAAGTCCATGTGTCTCTGCAGAGGCTCTTCTTTATTGATGTCATCCACTTGTGTTTATTGTTACTGTGCTAGTTGCACCTAACATGATAAATGTGTGTATAAAGGACTGTTTCTGGCATGCAGAGATCTAATGCAGGGTTTTTTTGGGTGAGGATGATGTTTTTTGGGAGAATATATCCATAAATAATATAAGCGTCATGTCCAGTGATGCCAGCTTGCTAGGCATAGGTGCAAAACTCTTATCTCGATTTTTTAACCTTCAGGTTTCTGAAGGATATGCGCGCACACACACACACACACACACACACTTCCCAAGTCACACACGGGCTGTTTGTGTTTGCTGATGATCTTTGACCTCTAACAATTGGAATTCAGGAGACCACAGACTACCTTGTTACTTCCTGTTTTCCAATTCCAAAAATTTTATTGTTATTATTATTAGGGATGCACGATATTAGATTTTTGCTGATATCCGATATGCCATTATTTTTCTAATTATTTGGCTGATAGCCGATGCTGCTACCGATATATATTTCCTTATTATACCGATATATCATTCTTATTTTTATTTTAAATAAGACCAAGTCTCTCCTGTGCAGAAATTATAGATACAATTATTTTAAATGTTGGTTAGTTTTGTGCAAAAAACTTATTTGTTAGAACTAATAAGCATTATTAAAGTTATTATTTTTTAACGAGAGTACATTGAAAGCTTTGAAAATAACTGTAATTAAAATCAATCTCTGTTGTTTTTTTGCCCAGACAGATGCAGTTGAAACCTTTACATTTTCTTTGTGGATTCAACATTAAATAGATGGTCTAAAGCAAAAGAGCTGTAAAAATTCTAAAAATCTTCAGAATTTTGAAGCTCCTTGTATTTCTGTTTTCATAATAAATTTGAAAAAATATATTACATATTAATGAATAAATTTACAAGTGTCATGTTTGTGATTTTTATTCATGTAAGCTATAGCTTCTGACCTTTAAATCAAAACAGACTTGTGATTTTATGACATTACAATTACTGCTTTACTTATTTAGAAACACAAGTATCTTAATGTTATTTATATAGTTTACTTTTCATTTTATTACAAGTAGGCCTACAGCACCCCTTAAGTAAATAAAACACCTTACTGGAGGGCTGCTGCAGGCACTGGTCACTGATGACTCTGTCGCACACTTGACGCATCATTCTGTACTACATTCTCAAATTAAATGCAGAGATCAAACACAGTGAATCTTAAGATAATTAAGAGTGCAAAACATACAACATACGGTGAACACAAAACACAAAAACATTACTACATACACATACTTTTATTATTATTGATATTATTGTTGCCGTCATCACGAGGTATTATTATCATCACCATCTTTAGTATTATTATTATTATTATTATTATTATTATGCATGCTAGTACTACTTGAATACTACTACTATTATTGTCAGATGGTCATCACTGTTTATTTTCATTGCTGTTATTATCATTGCTGTTCTATTGCTGTTTTTGTGTTTTGTGTTCAAACACAGTGAATCTAATCACCGTTCAGGTAAAAGTTCGCCCACACTGCTGTCTTGATCTTATCACTATCACAGTCTGAGCACGTGAGCTGTTCATCTTATCGGCAAGGCATATCGGCATAATTTTCAGATCGGCCGATGGTTACATTTTAAGCCTTTATCTGCCGATTCTGATAACGTTCCGATAGGGCTGGACGATATGGCCAAAATTGATATCACGATATATTAACGAAGTCAAACACACAAATAAATCAATGTATGGGAAACACGGGTAATGTATATCGAAATATCGGAAATGTGTTTAAAAACCATATCACCGTTATTGAAAAAAATTATATCGCGATACATATTGATATTGAATTATTGTCCAGCCCTACGTTCCGATAATATTGTACATCCCTAGTTATTATTTTAGTTTTTACATTTAAATTTTGTCATTTTAATTTAGTTATTACTAATATTTTTCTATTTTTTTAATCTGATCTTAGAAGCACTCTAAAGCCCCGTTCACACTAGCAGCGAATTTTGTCGCTGCATGTCGCCAGGAGCTGGCGATGAGGTTGCTAGTGGGCGTTCTCAATACTGGTTGCCTTGACAGCGAATCAGGTTTCTTGCCGCTAAGTACAAACATTTTGGAGGCAAAAGACTAAATATAATCTAAATCTAAATTAAATCCGTACATACAAACAAAAATGAATGAGAAACAGAGCCTACTTTCTTCCATTGCGTATGTTTATCTACGGTGCTGAGAGGGGAACGATCACATGAGCTCTACCGTCTTCTTTCCTATTGGCTGTCGCTCCCGAAAGTTGCTCTTCATTTGCATAAAGTTGAAGGATTCTGAACTTTGTCGCGTCGCTGGACACGCCCCATCCGGTCGCCAACGGCCGCTGTCGCTCGTGTCGCCGGAATTCGGCAGCTCTCCATTGAAATTAATGAGATTGTGTCGCTTTGCTGTTGCGTGTCGCTTATAGTGTGAACGGGGCGTAAGCTCTGTTTTATGTGTGAGCCCACAATAATGTACAATTATTATTTTTATTTTAGTCCAAGTTTTAGTCATTTTGCTGAGCGCTTTTTCTCATTTTTATTCGTTTTTTCTTTACCTAAACTAAATGAAAATGATAAATGCTGCTTTGGCAACTAGCTAGTTTAAACTAGTTTAAATAGTAACTCCTTTAAGCTGCTGGCCTTGAAGCGGGAACCGCTGATGTCATTTTTCGCAAAGCTTTCAAAACAACAACTCAGTTCTGCTATAGGCTGAGACAGAACATTTCTAATGAACTCGTTTGCACTTCAGATGCTAAATGCAGTGCAGGCATAATGTGCGCTCAGTTTACACAGCCTTATTTTGTCATGCTGCATGGCTACCTCAAATACTTCCTTTTCCATGTTCTTCTGAAATTAAATAATTTACAAGTGTCACATGTGAATCATGTTCATTTGTTATTATCTTCTGAATGTTCCTTCACAGCTTTCTCATGATGGTGTGAAGAAATGAATTAAATTACTTGGAAAGTTATAACGTGTTCACAGAAGTAACCAAGACTGGTGAACAGACCATACTGCACTGTGTTTGTGGGCCGGTTATGCACATGTACTGTAGTAACCGTTATGACAACATTCAGCTCTCTAACAGTGGAAAAGCAGGCCACTTCTGAGAGAAAGAACAACAACAGGACATTTCAGTTTCTTTCCTCTTATCTTTCCGGTTTCTATTTACTTCCAGCTCCTGTATTTCTATTCTGTCTTCGGTTACTGCACGTTCTTTCCACCCTGCTCAATTTTTGGCAGTTATTACCCATGAATCTCCCGTCCTCCTCCATCTGTTTGCATATGTAGTGAAGTGAATGCATTACGATGTTCTCTTTCTCTAAGCAGGTTTGTTGACATGAGCCATTAAGAGCATCTCGATCCTCGCTGACCCCTTAAACCTCTTTTCTAACCCAATGAGCATCGCTTTCCTTCTACGGCTGTGTATGAACTTACTTGTGTGGAAACAAACAGTAACTTTAAACCCGTAACATGTAACCTCCACCTCTTTCTGTGCCTTAACTGAAGATGTGGGCTCAGTATATAATGGTAATGCTGGTCATGATTACTTGAACTGAAACCCAAACCTCAGTTAAGGGACGTGATCGATCCTCGCTGACCCCTTAAACCTCTTTTCTAACCCAATGAGCATCGCTTTCCTTCTACGGCTGTGTATGAACTTACTTGTGTGGAAACAAACAGTAACTTTAAACCCATAACATGTAACCTCCACCTCTTTCTGTGCCTTAACTGAAGATGTGGGCTCAGTATATAATGGTAATGCTGGTCATGATTACTTGAACTGAAACCCAAACCTCAGTTAAGGGACGTGAAGCCAGGGTAGATGAGAGGAAGTGAGTCTTAGGCTTGCACTTCTTGTTTTACAAAGGCCACATACACACTGTAAGGTTTAGGGAATGACGACACATTTCTGCAGTTATCATTCCACATGTACAGTATATGTGACCCTGGACCACAAAACCAGTCATAAGGGTCAATTTTTTTTTTTTTAATTGAGATTTATACACTATCTCAAAGCTGAATAAATAAGCTTTCCATTGATGTTTGGTTTGTTAGGATAGAACAATATTTGGTCGAGATACAACTATTTGAAAATCTGGAATCTGAGGGTGCAAAAAAATCAAAATATTGAGAAAATCGCCTTTAAAGTTGTCTGAATGAAGTTCTTAGCAATGCATATTACTAATCAAAAATGAAGTTTTGATATATTTACG